TCCGACCGAACTGTTTCGCTCTTGATGCAGCTTCTGCCGTCGATTGCCCCGGGGTGGGTGCCTCGTTCGGCAACTCCTCGATCTGGTCGACATAGTCCTCGACGCCCCTGAAAGTTCACGAGCAATTGGAGATGCCCTGCTCTCCTGCAACTTTACCGCGTCGTTCGCCCGAGGCCCCGCGGGCGCCGTGTGAGGTGGAATCCCCATCCGCGCCGCGAGAGTCGTTTCGGCGCTGCTTCATCTCCGCCGAGTTCGGGCCCAATAAGAAATGTCGGAATGCGACGGCGCGAAGGTCGTCGCTGCGCTGCATGCGAGCGCCGGCTCTCCAACCCCCGCCCGCGCATGTCCCCCATCTCGGGCCCCTGGGCGCGGCCGCCAGAAAGTCGCCCTGACTCGCCGGCAGGCGCCGCGCGATGGCCGTCCAGCCTGGGCAGCTTGCTCATCCATATCAGATCCTGGAGGTCGATCGACTGGGCCTGCGCGTTTGAACTGATCAACTTCCAGATGCGGGAGCGGCTCACTTCGATCTGACGAGGGCCGTTGAAAGCTGTGTACGCGACGGGGGTAAGATCAGCGCGGGCGTCGAAGTCGCCGAAGTAAAAAAAAAAACGCGCTGGCCATCTGCCCCTTGCGCGCGCGCGGGGTCTTTCTGAAGACCCCTGCCGCGCCGGGGCCATCGATCGGGCGGGCCGAACGCCATGGCCCCCCCGGGAGACGCCGCGTCAGCAACCGATCGGTCGAGCGCGACGTCGCGGAAACCGCGACGACAGCGGCGGCCCGAACATTGCGGGGCACGTTCTGGCATCAGACCGCGCGGGGTGCTGCCTCCCAACGGACAGCCGAGTTCTGCGTCTGCGCCCGCCCCGAGCCGCCAGAAATGCGCGGGCGCCCCTGCGGCGCGGGCCCGGGCCGTCGCTGCCAGTAGATCCCTGGTCGGACTCCACGGCTACCTTGGCTGAGCTCGCTTGCTGCGCCCATTCCCATTGCGATTGGGTCGGCGATATTTTCAACTGCACCTTGACTATCTGGGGAGGGGGGTGGGGGGCGCGTTCCGCGTCGTTGCCCAGGTAGTCAGGACTCAGGGGGTCACCCACGAATCCGCAATAATCCTATCCCGCGGTTACGGGCGCGCTCATCTGCGCCAGATCTACCGCCGTCTGCGACAAATGCGCTGGCCCCTGCGCCGACGGCCGCTGGGTCGTCGCAGATTGCGCCTGCAGATGGCGCGTGGTCGCCGCCATCATGAACGGGGCCACCGCTGCCACGATCGTCTTTCGTGGTTGGATGGCGCGTAACGTCCGCGCCGCGTCGCGCAGGGCCGGCCCCGAGACGCCGCGGCAGACTTCCGCGACGCCGAGAACGCGCACGGCTTCCTCGACCCCCGCCCAGCGGGATCATTTGGGCACCCGAAGACGTCGATCGAGAATCGCTGAGGCCAGGCCGTCAGTTATCGAGCGACGTTGCCCTGTCGAACGAGTCAGCTTCGGTGGCTGACTAGGCAATAATCCCACCAGCCTTTTGAGCGACAGGCGGTCTACGGAGGGTCTCTTTCCTCTTCCACGACCCTTCCCCCCTTCAGGGAGGCCCCCCCCCTCCCTGAGGTTTTCGGGGAGGGGTCGCGATGTGTCGGGGCGCCTTTCTCGGCTATTGGGGGGGCGATTTTCTCGCCACCCCTCGCGAGGATCGTGGCCCCCGAGGGGGGGACTTAGATCGAGCGCCCCCCCCTCTGTTGACCCACCGCCTCCAAGATGGCCCCGAGATGCCCTCCAGGGCCCCCCAGAGGCCCCCAAGAGGCTTCCCCTCGCGCCCCGGGAGGCCCCCAGGAGGCTCCAAGCGGTCCCCGAGAAGCCTCCACGAGGCCCCTGAATGTCACCCAGGCGGCCCCAGAGGGCCCAAGATGACCTCCAAGATGGCTCAATATAGTTCAACCTGGCTCAAGATGGCCCCCAAGATGCCCCAAGAGTCCCCGGGGCCGCTCGGGATGGCCACGGAGCCTCGCCAGGATGCCACGTGGCCTCCGCCGTCAGCTCTCATGGGCATAGTTTCTGGATGGGCTGGTGGGGATACGCGAAGCGTCAAGAGTATGTTCAGGGCTCCGCCAATCTCCGTGTGGCCGCATGTGCAATACTGTCCTTTGCGCAGCTGCATGTTCGTCTCCTGATATCAAGATTTGCAGCGCCAGCTGTCGGCGACATTCTGCGTCCTCGCCCGCAGAGCCAAGCTCGAACTTGAGGCGGTCCACGATGACCCCCTGCATCCAAGTGCGGAACTGGCAAGGCTGAGCGGGATATTGATACGACCACTTGCGGAACCCTCCAATGGGGATCGCGCCTTCCCGTGTCAGCTGCGGCACATGTGCACCTCGGAACCAATGCGTAAATATGCCAACAGCGACCCCCTTCGTGCCTCAAGTACCGTTTTGCTGCAAAGTTTGACGCGTGCCTGTCTGCCATCGCCAATCTCACGGTGGAGTAGGCAGATGCCGCTGCCACGGTAGCGCACTCAACCTCCCTCAAAGGCCTGCTCGTTGCGCCTGGCGCCGTGGCACGCAAAGATTGCACGCGGCTCGGCGATGCACCCGCCACGGCGGCACACTGAACAAATCAGTCGGCAACCTAGCTGGAGGAAGGTCCCCCCCCACATCGATGCCCCGCGTGTAGCAATTTGGCTGGCGCTCCGGGGCCCTTTTCTGGTGGGAGGTTGGCTCGAGTGCCCAATGCGTTTCCGTCACTGGTTCGCTTGGCTGGCCCTTCCTCGAAAAAGAAGTCGATGACCCTGGCTGGCATCGGAGTCGTGTCGTCAGAGGCTGCATCTACAAACATCGCCACCTTGCGATTTGAATCCTGACCATGAACGCACGCCGCACAGATCGATGGATGTCGCTGGCGAGCGGAACTCTGACACGGTTGGCGGGGGAACCGTCGGCCGCTTATTTCTCCATCGCGCGTCATGCTGCTGGCTGCTCGCAGTTTGGCTGCGTTTCTGCCCTCGGGCAGTGGCCGCCAGCTCGCGCAGCTCTTGCATCCGTCCTGGTGGCTGGCCCCGCTGGGGGCGGTCATCGTTTGTGATTCAATCGCAGTGCCGCGCGGATTGCCAGCAGCGACCAGAGCCCAATAGGCTACTGGCATGACAGTGGACTGCATGATGTTGGCCGCAACGCCGAAACAGACAAACACGAGGGAGGAGGATGATCAGTGCTTAAACAGAGGATCTTGCGGAGAACGAGGACGCAACGAATGACATGGCCCCGGGGCACACGAAGAAATAGACACAGCCCCAAGGAGTCCCAACATGTGTCCTTATTCTCTCGATATGTGTCTTCCCCTCAACTTCCCATACTTTCCAGATGTTCAATGTTTTCTTGGGATTCGACGATAATTTGTGTCTGTAAATTTGTCCCCCTTGAATGAAGAAACATTGGATGGAAACGAAGAGCAGCATGAGGGGAGGAAGGAAGAGGCAGAGCAATACAAACAACAAGCTGCAACATGGGCTCAATCTTCTGGAGTCAAGACAGCGACGATGACCGTGATACCTTTCGGGCTGCGGCGTTTCCTCCGCCGTTCCCCATTTCTCAATTCTGCATCTCCTGCTTCCAACCATTCGTTCCCCTCTTTCCCGTTTCCTCTCTCCTTCCCTCTCTCTCTCTCTGCTTCCCCTTGCGTCTTGGGGGCCTCTTGGGGCCTCCTGGACGCCTCTCGGGACAGCAGGCGCGGATTTTCGGTGCGTGTCCCCCCTCTTGCGCCCCTCTTGGGGCCGTCTTGGGGCCCTCTCGGGCCGTCTTGGGCACCTACTGGGCCGTCTTGGCGTCCTCGTGGAGGCCTCTGAGGGGTGCGCCCAACAACGCTGAACTCAACGACGCCCCCGCAGAAGCACTGATCCGTCAAACGCTCCTTCGAAGGTTAGTTCCACCAACAACTGTAGCATGTTCCAATCATCTCTTGAAGCATCTACAGAAACAGCTGTCCAGGAACAACTCCCAAGCCTCTCGGGATTTCCTGGTTGATCTAGAGTTCAGCGGACCTTCCCCCCCCTCCGCCTCTGAGGTGTCAATTTGCCTTTCCGCGTCCCGACCTAGGCTTAGGTCGGGCGCGTCCTCCTACAGGCGGATTTTGGGCGAAAATTCAAAATGGCCCAAACATGCTCGACAAAAAATACAAAATAGTAGAAACATCGTCCCCATACGATTTGCATACTATTCTTGAATATTTCTCCTGCAGAGGGTCACGCCCGACTGAAAGCTAGGCTTCCCCACGCCGTGCGATCGCCGGCGCCGCGACACAAACAAGTTCCTCGACGAGGCTGTGATGCAATCTCGGCGATGGACGCTCGACGGATGCCTCCTCTCTAAAGGCTTCCCAACTGGGGTCGGAATAAATTTAAGTCGGGCGTGTCCCCCTGCAGGCGGATTTTGGGCGACATATAAAACATACTTAGACAAAGACTCAGAAATAGTAAAAAAATGAAAACCGTCCCCTGACGATTTTCTGTCTATTTCTGAATATTCGTCCTGTAGAGGGACAGGCCCGACTTAAGAATAGATGGGGTGGGATGCTCTCGCCGCATTGCCGATACGTCGGCGATGCATCGTCGATGCGTTGGCGATGCGTGGGCGACGTCGTCGACGCAACGGCGACGCCCGCGCGGAGAAAATCGGGCTTCACATCGAGCTGCACCGCCGATGCATCGGCGATGCGGCGCGATCCTCGGACCCCATCTGCTGAGGGGCATCAATCGGGGGGGACTGGCATAAGGGGGGATGTATCGACCTGGAATCGGCGATACATCGCCGATAGACCGGCGATAGGTCTCCGATCGTGAATCCGCACCTTCCTGGGCAGGCTGGGGCTATCGGGCCCTTCTCGGCAATCAACGGGCGACTGGGGGCCGATACGTCCCCCCCTGCAGCCCATCCCCCCCGCACTGTCGTTCCCCCGGATCTGCTCCGAGCCAATCTGGAAGGCCCAGCTGCTCGCTCCGGCGCCTCGCCGCCGCCTTGC